CTTTAAACTAGATTTCACAAAATAATTGAAAGTCAAAATAAAAACGACACTTTTCCCTCCAAAAGGTCCAGAGCGAATCACCGCTGTACTCAATAAGTACTTTACATATATCAACGAGTTTTTTTTTATTTTTTTATAATTATGAAATAAAGCCCGAGACCCGGGCACTTGAGCTGATGTAGTATCGACTCATAATTTCTGGAAATAATCGCAACGAAGTTGAGTCAATTCGGAACCAATATACTTAGAAGTTACTTAACGCGTAACGCTCGGTCGGAAGGTGTCATAGACAAAAATTACTCGATCTGTACCTCAGATGGCAAGAGCCCTGGTGTGGCAACTGACGCTGGTTCGAGTCCACTTAAATCGAAGGAATTTTCCTTTATATTGTTCAATCTTTCTGTCAATAATAATAACAAATTAGTCGAGTATTTTTTACCGACTTCATTAAATGAGGTTTACGTGAGGGCTCCGGCATTTCTGAACCGATTTGGAGGATTCTTTTTTGGTTGGAAAGAAGGTACGTCAGTATTGTTACCATTTAAATTTGAAGAAAATATTCTACCTCTGAGGGCAGCAAACTAGGGGATGAATCCGGTTTCGCGCACTTTCCGGTTACCGATTTCAATAAAACTTGGATGTAATTTCACGAACTTTTGGGGTCAGTTTTTTTTCATAAAAAACTTACAATTGTCACGGTAGTACAACCTCAAGATATTCAATAAATAAATAAGACAAAAATATCTATGGAAAATTGTCAATGATACCTATAAGTAACTAATTACATTTATTTTGTTAATGACTTAAACGTTATAAGATTTTTAATTCGGGACTTAATCACGTACAAAACATTTCTTTTTTAAATTATTTTTTCAAAAATCAAATAATGTGTGAAAATCGTGAAACTTTAAATCAAAGTATTCCAACGTTATGTTTAATATATTTAATATTAGCTGGTGCCCGCGACTTCGTCTGCGTAGAATGAATTACGTTACTATAACTGCGTATAATGAATAAGGTTACGTTCGGGTAACCTACTGTACTATACTAATTTTCATACTTTAATTGGTTCTCCACACAAACTTTCATCCTCTATTTCATCCTCCTCAAGAATGATTTTTATTACAAAAAATAGCTCATGCCCTTCTCCTGGGTCCAGGTCCCCATGGGACCCTCTCGGTGGGTCTCTATTAAAAAAAATAATTTTAATTGTTTAATAGTTACTTTTGCATTTATAATAGATATTACTTTGTTTTTACCGTTTGGGTTTCTCTCTTAAATGCTATTTTGTAGGAAGAATAGGTGCTGGGACCCCGTGGATTAGAGTTTCGAGTATAAAGAATGCGAAGAAGCATCGTTTACTTTATTTTCTTTTTTTTAAATAAAATGATAATTGCGCATTTGACCTCCATCTCACCTGATGTGACGATGAGGACGATGATAGAACACGCACACGTAAAATGCCTATTCACTCTCGCCTTGAAAAGGTCCAAGTTAAATGTTCAGAGAATAAGTCTGCAGGCAGGGAATTCCACTCCATAGCCGTTTGCCATATAATTGTTTAAGCTTAACGCTTCGTGCGAATCTTTGGAGCATCCATAACTTAGGACTGGAAACACTATATCTAGTCCCCCGATAATGAAAAGGGTAATCCGGAAATCCGTATCCTAGTTTTGTTAGGATTGTTTATGATTTATAAAGAGAACGAGGATGACGATAAGGCGTATTTTTCCAGCAATCGTTATCCCCGACCATGCCAAATCTGACGTGTTCAAGATGATCGGATTCAAATGGTCCATGGTCCAACTGGTCCTGTTCCTGACGTGGGCTCTACACCACTACACCTTTGGCAATATTATCATATGGTACATATTGACCATTTTCCTCGTGGTCGCAACAGTATTGGCAGTGACCACATATGACCATGATTACTGGAGATCGAGGGGTGTGTTTTCTCCCCCCGCATGGCCTTTGGTTGGCCATATCAAGACTGTGGTAACTTTTAAGGAACAAGGAGGGATCTGTTTCAAGAGGATATATGACACTTACAAGAAGGAACGGTATTTGGGTAAGTTGTTGTTTTTGATATTGTAGTTTTATATATTAAAATATAGCAAACATATAAACGTCGTCTGTATGAATCTCAAATTCATTTAAGGGACAATGTAGGTATAAGCTTCTATAATAAGGTTCCGATTGATATTCAAAGTTTGCCATTTACAAGTTTTAAAACTACAGTGAAACAAAAACTTTATACTAAAGGTTATTATTATAGGTACCTACAGCTTCTGCGTACTTGGATGATAAGAATCCGTGGTAGTGACCCGTGTAGCTTTTGCAGGTAGTCTTTATTCAAGATGTTTAAATTAAATATTGTAATGATAAATGTACTTAAATGTATATTTACAAAGAGCAACCCCTAGACTTTCTTGCTCATTCTTTTCAAGGGAATCTTCCTTACGAATGGACAGTAGAGTTTAATCAGTATGACGATTTCAAGTGTAATTTTCTTACCTATGAAATATAGATTATTTGACTTTGTCTATATTATTATTACGAATATTTCACAATTTAATGCCATAGTACGGCATTTTGCTTTGGGGTAATGCCGCCGATATTAATTAGAATCTTTAACCTGCATAAACGTGCGATTATCGTAGTGCAAGATGATACGGCGTTTACGGTTATTTTTACGGAGTTTGTTAATAACTTCCAGCAAACAAATGGTCGTGTACCAATCAGTATTCACGGTACAACGATTCTACAAAGCAACAGTAGCCACGTGTCCAGTTTTATTAAAAAAAAAAGCAATTATCCGCTTAGAGGCACTTTCCTCGTGCGCCACTTTGGTTGGTTTCGGCTCATCTCGAAAGACCCATACCCTCGATTGCTGCTTTGTTTTGGGATCGTAACTATAAATCCATGTTTCGTCAGCTGTTACTATGTCCCACACCAAAATTGACGCCCCTTCGTTGAATCTGGTAAACATGGCATTGCACCAAGTGACGCGATCCGTTTTTTGAGCCTCAGTCAAATTGTGTAGGATCCACCGAGAGCACAGCTTTTTCACACCCAAATGTTTGTGTAATATTGATTGTATTTGACTCATGCCTTTGCCTAAAGATGCCCGAATCTCATGGTATGTCACATGCCTGTCTATTTTGATCATACGGCGCACAGCATCGATGTTTTTGTTGTTCACAGCAGTGGACGGGCGACCATCACGAAATTCGTCTCTGAGATTCACACGACGGCGTTTGAATTCTGCAAACCAGCTATAAATAGTCGTCTTGCATGGTGCTTCATTGCCAAAAGCAGTTTGAAGCCGAGCGAAGCTCCGCTGAGCTGTTAAATTACACTTGAAGTCGTAGAAAATCATGTTACGAAAATTTTCACGAGTTAAATCCATGGTGATGTAGAGAACCAATTTCTAAAATGACGCCACAATGTAAAAAATGTGACAGTCAGATGAAACAAACTGTATTCTACAGCCAAAAAGTTCCATTTTCAAATGTTGTAATTACTTTTTAAATATTGTTTATGTATAGGTGGCCAGTTCCGAAAACTTATAGTGTGTCATATGTACACTATTTGGACCACAGGGTGTCTTAAAGAAATAGTTTAGAAAAATTAACCCTCTTGCACTACGTCACATCACTGAACATCAAAAACTCGAACAAGGACTATGTGCATAGTTAAAGATCGTCACTAGTTACAGGTTTCATAAGCGGTGGTAGTTCAGTAGGAGAAAGGCTGCTCCTCAAATAAGAGGTCGACGAATCGAATCCCGTGCTGTCCTCAATCATTATAGTTTCACATTCGTTAATGGTAATGGAAAAACAGTGATGAAACTAAGAACAACAAAAAAAATCTTTCAGGATATTCGTGCTCAGCAGTGGGACTTTTTTACCTATTTCTGCCGTCAAGCAGTAATGTGAACATTACTGCGTTCCGGTTTCGAAGGGTAAGGGTGCTGGTGAAATTACAGGCACATGGGACTTGTCAACTTATGTCTCAAGGTGTCGGGCGCAGTGGCAGTGCCTTTCAGATCTCTGTGATTTAAAGGTCTGAGTGACACTGCAACTGTTAGGGACAGGCGTGACGCTTACCATCAGTCACGCGACTTGTTCGTCCCGTCACTAAAAATAATAAAAAAAACTTACAATGAGTTGATGATTACAGGGTTCTTACTACGGTATGACTTTTTGTTTCTCTCCTTATATTTTAAAGTGATTTCTCTCGGGTTGACTGGACTTTTTTTATAATACTAAGTGACGGGACGCATAAGTTGTGCGCCTGGTTGTAAGGGACACGCTTTATAACAGTTGCAGTGCCAATCAGGGCTTTAAATCGCAAAGCAATCGGAAAGGCACTCCCACTACGCCAGTTATCCTGGGAAATAAGTTGACACATCCCATATGCCCGTGATTTCACCAGCACGCTTACCCTTCAAAACGCAGTGCTACCAAAAGTTACATTGGTATTGGTATTACACATTGGTATATACATTCCATGTAGTAACTATATCCAGTCAAATTTACCCGTTAAATTTATTTACGAACTTGGAGATGTCGACACAGTTTCTCATACAATTGCGTGTCACTCAAAAGACGTCAATGCAATCATGAACTGACTAAAGATTCGTGTTCGGTTACGAAATGTTTTAACACACGAATGAAAGGTTTTTAGTTTGCAGACATGAAGGTTTTTAATATTAAGTTTTCATTGGATTATTTATTTCGCAAATGTAACGTTTTAAATATAAAGTATAGGATTAGTATCTTCAAGGTGCGATTGAATAGGCATCTACCTGGCAAGCTCGTTCCATCGTAGAACAACTCATAGGCTCGCACTAGGGAAACCCTGTATCACGGGTGCCATGGACACACGTGACAACCATAAATTACACCCAAACTCACAAGAGAAATAAATGTAGAACTGGGGCCTCTGCGTGGCAGTCCAGCAGGGGGCCAATCGCGCTATTTTCGCAAGGTTTAACCGTACAACATTTGAGGTTATTGTTTTGGTTAATTAATGGTTCTACCGACACACAAAATGCAATCGCGCTATCAGTTTTAATGAACCTAAACCTCAAATTAACCTCAAACTATAACCTCGTATTAAATTTTAAGAGACGTGCCTTGACTTCCTAAAACCGACTAAATTTTACCGTAAAACGCACTGAAATGTCAATATCTACGAATTCAAGTCTATAAAAGAGCGATTTAAAAAAGTGTGTAAAAGAAATGTCATTAAATTCTATTGTAAACAAACATATGTGTTGTGATTTGAACCAAATTAATTGAATTTAGTGTGTTGTTGTTGTAGATAAAACACGCAGAGGCAAGTACCTACACATTGTTTTCCTTTTTTAATATTCTATTTAATAAAATATTATCTTTTTATACAATCAAATAGGTACGCTAACTACTATTAATTTCGAAATGTTAGCAATGTAGAATTAATAATGATGCTCGTATTTCAGCCAGTGTGGATGCGGTCGGACGGCGAGCGACCACTGTAAGCCAGCTCCATCTTTGCTGGAGTTCGAATCGCACAGAGATTTGGCTTGAGAATGACTTCGCTCGGCGTTGTTCGCGCGTGTTATCAGCACGCCTTTGGTGCGAGTGTGTGGCTATTTTGTGGCCCCGCAATAGATCCCAAAAGGTGAGCTATAATGCGAGGTAATAGGATACAGTGAGTGGATCACTCACCGTTATTGTACCAGAACTCATATCACTATAATATGCGATGTTATTATTGTTATTCAGGTATGGAATGGTATGAAAAGCAGGGTGAGAATCTACGCCACATCGACTGCGGCAGAGGCCCTACCAACCTTCCTAAAGGACACCAACTCTAGCACAAAATAACTTCAAACATACAATTCAATAACAAAGTAACTTTCTCACTCTTTATTATTAATTAAAAAACAAAGTAACTTTCAATTTGAGCAAATTCTTTCCCACTCTTTATTCCATCACATCTATTATTTCGTTGACAGCGAGCTGATGAGCGTTGGAGCAGAGCCGGGTAGAATTCTTATGCATTGAGGAGCAGCGAGCATGCGAAGCATTCTTGCAGCAAGTGAATGCTGGCAGGGTGCAGGCTGAGGCAGCTATTATTTCTGCCAAAGCAGATGATCTGCATGCCCAATCCGTAGCTGCCATTTGCAAAGCAATTACCGAGTTGGTGCCTGCAGTTAACCTTTTTGATAGACTATTTAACAAGAATGACAGGTTTGTTTTCAACATGTTTTCTTAATTCCTGCTGATGATATGTTCAATTGTGGAAATCTGAAAGAGCGTAAGGAACGAAGGTCTAATCTGTAGACTTTTGTCCCCTTTATATTTCCACAGTGATATAAACATTTTTTTAAATGTATTTTGAAAAGGCCCCTAAACATTCTGGCGTTTATGTTGGCTTCATATTGTATGTATATAAATACCCATCCTGCTTTATCTGTCACTACTCTCATGAGAGGTATGGCACAGTCTTAAATTTAGGTCTCCAATCTTCCTATATACATATTTTTGTTTCAGACTTCTTTGAAGAATCAAAAGCAAGCTCGCTCCGGAAATGAAGGATGATTTGGGGTAGATTGAGGCAATAAATAAACTAAAAATACACTCTTTTTTTTATTTCAACCTCTTAAAAGTATACATCAATTTAGATATTAAGATAATAAACAATTACAATAGGTATACATCGTCATCATAGAATGAATACCTCATATTTCTATGTAATTTTTTAGGATGAAGATAAAAATATGGTGTGAAGTATAGTAAATGCAATAATGTGTGTAGTTAGCATTTTAATTACTTAAATTATACCTCTTTTAGATACTATATTATTACATTATTCAACAAAAATCAGTAAAAACAAACTGAAAATGCATATGTGAGGCTTCACTGTAAGGGGACGATATGTTGTATAAAGTCAAGTGTTAAAAGAGATTAATTGTAACCTTGTAATATATTTTTATACAACTATACATATTTTACCTATACCTGTAATTTTAATTTGATAATAACAACAGGAAATAAGACAAGAACTAATAAATATGAT